ATGTGTAGAACCTATTAATCCATGTTTGGGTAAGTATGGGTCCATCTAGTTCATCTTATACACTACAAGTGAGTTTCCACAATGTGGAGTCACAGAGGTACATTTCGGACTCCTTACCTCTTCCGGTTCCCAAATTTGGTCCATTTGATGTTCCTCCCTTGGATTGAGACCGTTTCACTCATGTTTGTCCTCATAGTCATGTGTAGAACCTATTAATCCATGTTTGGTAAGTATGGGTCCATCTAGTTCATCTTATACACTACAAGTGAGTTTCCACAATGTGGAGGCACAGAGGTACATTTCGGACTCCTTACCTCTTCCGGTTCCCAAATTTGGTCCATTTGATGTTCCTCCCTTGGATTGAGACCGTTTCACTCATGTTTGTCCTCATAGTCATGTGTAGAACCTATTAATCCATGTTTGGTAAGTATGGGTCCATCTAGTTCATCTTATACACTACAAGTGAGTTTCCACAATGTGGAGGCACAGAGGTACATTTCGGACTCCTTACCTCTTCCGGTTCCCAAATTTGGTCCATTTGATGTTCCTCCCTTGGATTGAGACCGTTTCACTCATGTTTGTCCTCATAGTCATGTGTAGAACCTATTAATCCATGTTTGGGTAAGTATGGGTCCATCTAGTTCATCTTATACACTACAAGTGAGTTTCCACAATGTGGAGGCACAGAGGTACATTTCGGACTCCTTACCTCTTCCGGTTCCCAAATTTGGTCCATTTGATGTTCCTCCCTTGGATTGAGACCGTTTCACTCATGTTTGTCCTCATAGTCATGTGTAGAACCTATTAATCCATGTTTGGGTAAGTATGGGTCCATCTAGTTCATCTTATACACTACAAGTGAGTTTCCACAATGTGGAGTCACAGAGGTACATTTCGGACTCCTTACCTCTTCCGGTTCCCAAATTTGGTCCATTTGATGTTCCTCCCTTGGATTGAGACCGTTTCACTCATGTTTGTCCTCATAGTCATGTGTAGAACCTATTAATCCATGTTTGGGTAAGTATGGGTCCATCTAGTTCATCTTATACACTACAAGTGAGTTTCCACAATGTGGAGGCACAGAGGTACATTTCGGACTCCTTACCTCTTCCGGTTCCCAAATTTGGTCCATTTGATGTTCCTCCCTTGGATTGAGACCGTTTCACTCATGTTTGTCCTCATAGTCATGTGTAGAACCTATTAATCCATGTTTGGTAAGTATGGGTCCATCTAGTTCATCTTATACACTACAAGTGAGTTTCCACAATGTGGAGGCACAGAGGTACATTTCGGACTCCTTACCTCTTCCGGTTCCCAAATTTGGTCCATTTGATGTTCCTCCCTTGGATTGAGACCGTTTCACTCATGTTTGTCCTCATAGTCATGTGTAGAACCTATTAATCCATGTTTGGTAAGTATGGGTCCATCTAGTTCATCTTATACACTACAAGTGAGTTTCCACAATGTGGAGGCACAGAGGTACATTTCGGACTCCTTACCTCTTCCGGTTCCCAAATTTGGTCCATTTGATGTTCCTCCCTTGGATT